ATATATATATACATTAAAATTTTGCAAAACAGGACACGGATATGCAGAAAGGTTGTGACATGATACCAGCTAGTAGAATGAAGTTAACTTCTTTTTTTTAAACAGAAGGTAAAATCCAAACTGTTAAAATAGATTCAGTAAACCACTAGTCTGAATTCCGTTATTCTCCCTCGAAACGCCATACTCCAAAATATTTACTTTTCTTTGCTCTGCTTCTGGATAGGAGGGGGGGGGGGGTCAGAAAAACGTTAGACAAAATCAACTTAATCTTGCTACAGTACCCTACTCCTCCGTGTTGTGTATCTCCCTGATCAGCTCGGTTTTTCTCATTGTGTTATTTGTTTTGCAAAGGTGTTTAAGCCATCTATATTTAATATGTTGTTCTCTGTCTTTCACTGCTCTTCTTTACTTTTATCTTTCAATACAGCTGCAGTTTTTAAGTCCGTTTGTTTTAATCATTTGACTAAAGAATCTCATTTGTCTGCACTAAAAAAACTAAAACGAAACAAAAACAAAGTACAGCAACAAAAGACAACAAACACACAAACGAACGAACAAAAGCAAAACAAAAAAGCACCACCCCAAACAACCTCTACCCCCCCCCCCCCCCAAACAAAAAACAGCAAAACAAAACAAACAAACAAATAAACAAAATAAACAAAACAAGAAAACGTGTTTCAACTGTAGCGGGTTATGACCTACCTGCCGTTTGGTTTAGCCGACAACTCCCACAGCAGTGGTCATTCTCCTTGTCCAGGGGACACCATTCCGCGTCATCGTAGGTCAGTGTCAGCTTCCAGCACCACGCCTGCTTGTCCCCGTACTTGCAGTCTGGGAGAGGAGGGGGATGGGAGATGGTGATGATGAGGAGGAGAAGGATAAATGAAGATGATTAGGAAAATGAAGATGATGATGATGATGAGGAAGAGGAGGAGAAGGAAAAAGTTGATGATGATGATGATCAAGGAGGAGGAGGAGGAAACAATTGATGAATATGAGGAGAAGGAGGAGTAAGAGGAGAGGAGGAGTAAAGAGAAAAAGGTGATGATGATGATGGGTTTTTTTGTGTGTTTTTTTTCTTAATGGGTCTGGTGGACTCCACGAAAAAATCTTCGAGCGAGAGCGAGGCTCTTTTTCGGCTCTTTTGTCATTATACTCAGAGGCACCTCCACTCGTCCAAATAACTCCATTCGAATTGTCATTGTTCCTGGACATTCAAATATGTTTGACACCCTCCTTCTCATGGCTGCTTCTTCGGCAACGTGGGTTGAGCTCATCATCCACAAAGTTCTGATACCATCTCAAGCTCCAATGATGGTCCGACCGCAGTCTCGCTAGCTCAATCTGGCCCCAGCAACATGTGATATTTTGTTCCTGCTTATTGGAGTACCCAGAATATACATCCTCCAGGTGCTGGTACATGTACTTAGCTCTGTGTGGTGGGTCTCTGATTTCCCTCTTGATCATTGGAAAGACTCCCCTGTATGTTATTGGTCGTCTGTCTCCTTCAATCTCTCTGGCTTCATTGGCAGCTTGGTCTGCTGCCTCATTTCCTTCGATTCCAACTTGGCTTGGAATCCAATGGATCTTTATTGTGGCTGTGGTTTCACTGAACTTGCGTCGCAAATCATTTATGTCTGGGCTGTTGCTTAGTAGTCCCTTGCAGAGGGTCTGACTGTCAGTCAAGATAGACACACTGGTTCTACTGAGGCAATTGCCAGCAATCATTGCCTGGCATTCCTTGTCATAAGATGAAGCGAGGAATGTACCTTTAGTTTTAATGATTTCTGTTCGTGGTGGTTCATCATTCATTATCACCACTGCTGCTGCTCCACCTTCGCAGCATCTTGCGACAGCCGATCCATCAGTGAAAATTGTCACATCGGCACCAACTTCCTTGATCACATCCTCTGCAGCTGCACGTGCCTCTACAGGATCATCACCTTTGCTCTTCACTCTTCTCAATTCTGTCCGGATTTCGATTTCACCATGGGTCTCCCATGGACAAGCTCTCACCAGATTGAGTGGCCATCGATTCTCTGCTTCATGGGAGAGGTGGTGTTCTAGGTCGGTGGCGATCCGAAACCAACTTTTCCTGTTGTTTTAGGCTTGACTGCTTGATCAAGGGTTTTCATTCTAGGATGGTTGCCTGGTAATCTCTTGGCCATCTCTACAGACTTGAGGCCGTCCAAGAAATCACACTCTTGGATGACCCCCAAGTGTCTTGGACTGATCAAGAAAAGAAACCAGCTAAGAAAAAATATCTCCACACACAGGGAGGAATGGTTACAAGCTTGCAAAGATGTTACAGAGGCTGTCCAAGAAGCAAAAACTGACCAGTGGAAGGAGGTAGTTAATGGCGTGATAAATGATCAGGACCAAAGTAAAACTTGGAGTTTCATCAAGTCTCTAAATGGATCAACAAAATCCAACTCTCCCAACGAAGTACTGAAACACAACGGAAAAAGGATAACATCAGCAAAGAAGAAACCTGAGCTTTTTGCCCAGCATTATGCAAAAATCAGTAAGCTTCAATTTACCCAAGTGGAGCGCAGAAGAAACAAACTCCGATTGAAGCGCCTACTGTAGGCCGATGTGGACAACGCAGATGGACAACAATCGTATCCAGACTGCATCATTAAAGAGCTGAAGCGTGCCTTTTAAACACAAATGAAGAGAAAAAGTGCTCCAGGGACTGATGATATACCACCTTCTTTCCTAAAAGAGCGTGGCCCGGTCGCATTGAAAGAATTGCTCAGCATAATATGTAATCTGTCGCTTAACCAAGCGGCGTGCCCATAAATCTGGCGTATGGCTCTTATCATTCCTCTCTTGAAAGCTGGCAAGTCACCAAGACATATGACATCCTCTTGACCCATTAGTTTGACATCCTGTGTCGTGAAGTTATACAAAGGATGTATGCTAAAAGATTTTATTACCTGCAAGAGAAGAATGAGTGGACTGCAAATATTTAAGCAGGCCTTTGCCAAGGTCATAGCTGCACCGACCAGATCATCAGCATCTGTCAAGGAATTGATGATGATGAAGAGTAGGAAAAAGTTGATGATGAAAAGGAAGAGGAGGAGGAATAATTGATGATGATGATGAGGAGGAGGAGGAGGAGGAGGAGGAGGAGTAAGGAGGAGGAGGAAAGAAAGAA